TGGCCACGCCTGGAATCCTGTTGAAGGAGGCTTAAAACTCGCTCGGAGAGGCGCGATCTGGCCAGATGAAGATATTTGCGCTTCCGTCTGTGACACGGTCGCCCTTACACGGCCACCAGTCAGCACAATGCGCTGAATTTAGAAGTACAATGATCCTATCGTTAAGTTAAGAAGCAAGTACTTGGATCTGCAATTCGTTGGAGAGCGTTGGCCGATGAAGGGGTGCCCCCTCGCGCGCTCCTGTCCCAACGCTCTTCACCCGACAGATTTACGAGTTTAAGCGTTTTTTCGAATCCTTCGGCAACACTTCGCGAGACTCGGTAATTGCAATTTCAGGGAACCGCAAGATTCGAGCCTGACGTGAACATCGGGGAACGATTTCCGCGCCAAATCCTCCTGAGTGAACGGACTCTTATCTTATTTTTTTGCAAATTTCTCGACTTGCGCGTCTGCGAGTCATCTTTCATGTAACAGCCCCTTTTCGTTTAATTTCTCTGCTGAACATCTAACACTAATATCGTATTGTCTAGCTCATTAAGCTTGTAAAGAAATAATAATTTTGCTCATTTTTTTGTATGACATATTTTAAAGGAGATAAAGTTTATTTTGGTATGATTGAAATTATCGTATGTGAAATTGAAACTGCTTGAAATTTATCACTATTGCAAGATATATTTGTCTTTTGAGATTAGTGCAGATTTTGGTACATTCTGCTAATTTCTTGTTTCCAAACTATTTTTAATAAGAAAATCTTCTTTTGTACTGTTACTGTACAAGTAACTATAGATTGAACAGAAATGAAATTAACCTCACATAGCTGCACAGCTGAAAATACTTATAACCTCGAATAGGCCTAGGTGATTATATAACCTCAAAATGAGACTATCACAAATATTTTCCCAGCGTCTACTTTTGATGGCTCTACCTTTGAATCTACTGAAATATTTTTCTGATTAAAGTAAAAAGAAATTGAGTCACTTTCAAGCCCAAAATCATTTCAAAATTTAATACCGTATTGCAAGATTAGCACCAAAATATCTTCTGCAAATATTGCTTTCCTCCTTAACTTTTTCAACATATAAAATTTGCAAAAGAAAAGGCATTATTAGGAATAGATAACATGCAGGTTTATTGAACGACAATTCAGAAAGCATGCAATAATTTCTTAATATAAAGAGCAAACGAGCGAGGACTGAAAATGAAGGGGTTGCTCTTATACTTTTCCTTGGCTGAGAAGATGAACGTAGGAGCTCCGAGATATTTCAACGAAACAAAGCTTGGAATACAAAACCTCTCTCCTTCTTTCTTCTTCCCGTACGACGAAAAGATTTTTTCGCCGATAAAAAGACTATCTCAGCTTCGGTATTATGCTTCTTTGGTGTTATCGTTGGCGGATGTTAGACCGGCATGAATGTACGTATCGTTGGCGCGTTTCATCTGAAAATGCAAATGATAAATGCAGCTGACGGGTTCCCTTTCGCGCGGATCGCGTCAAACAAATTTTGGAGCGAACTTTTCGTTCAATTCTTCGCTTTCAATTCACTTTATACTCGCGAACTTTTCTTACTTAATCCTCGTTCGTTACGGACTTTGTATCTTTTACTTATATAAGAGTTATATTGAAAAATTGAGAGATTAAATCAGGCCTACTTATTGTGAAATTCATTTTAGTATTTTTAACTGATGTTATAAAAAGTCTGCATTTATTTCAACTGACTTTGAGATTAACTTCTTAAATAACAAATACGAAGATAGATAATTTTGTATACATTTGTTCATGTTATTAAAAAGGTGAGATTTTTAAGCTGACGATGTGAGAAATTAAGCTGACGATAAACATACATATTTTCAAATTATTGTGGAAAATTTTAGCAAAGAATTTTAATCTTTGTTCTTACAAAACTTCACCTCAAAAACTTTATAAGTTTATATTGTAAATACATGTGTAAATAATTATATAGTTACTGAAGTCTTTGTTTATAAATTTTCATTTTTAAGAAGGTGATATGTGGAGTCTGCAGTTACATGCTGCGAACATTGATGATGTCCTTCTAAATACATCAGTATTTACTTTAATCAACAATCACCGTCTTAACCACTGTCCAACATCAGATATTCAGCATCAGATGAAACGTATACAATTATTTTCTCCTACTGTTTCACCCCAAAAAACCAAAATTCAAAAGCATACAAGAAGAGGAACCATGAAAAGGAAGAAATGTTAGAAGTATAGATGCGAATAGACAGAGGAAAGCGATAAGGAAGAAGAAAAAGCCTCGTTTTCGAAAAATGGCTCAATTTCGAGCAGGGGGCACAGGATTCCGTCGAAAAATGTTCCCTCCAACGATATCGGGAGACCCACCGAAGATCACGAGTCTCCACACCCTTTTCGTGTTCGTAGCAGTCGAACCACCCCCGCCACGGTGTTCGCCACCACCATCGACGCCACCAACACCACTACAACCAACACCACCCCCCTTCTCAAGTGGAATTGGCGGTGTTGAACGTCACGAAAGGCATCCGAGGAGAGTAGACCTTAAGCTGGACGGCCTTAAGGGCGTGTTTCCCCTGTCGGCCGCAGACGGGTTGAGTGATAAATCGATTTACGTTCTGGCCAATGAGGGTTGAAAGTGGCGCTTTCTGATTGGCCCGTAGCTAGACCACTCCCACTTCGTTAATAAAGGTTTCGGGCGAAAGCCCGTTTCACTGTGCCACAATTTCCGTTTGAAAGTATGTTTGCTTCTACTCGCTAAGAGATCCACAGTTGCGATATTTTCGAAACGCAATCGTGTCTTTATTCTTCTAATCTATCATCTTCAGACTTTACATTCGTATCTCAATCTTCTATGAATTAGATCAGATGAAGAAGGTGAACTAGATAAGGATGTTCAGATGTTGGTCTTTGAAAGTTGAAATATATTTTTCATGAAATTAATACACACAACACACACATGAGTTTACCTACATTTCATGTTGAACAGTTTTTGCAGAAGAGTAAAATTTCTCAAAGCAGTCCTTCACTCTCAATTAAGATATCTTCATAGGTAGACTCTCAAACATGCTGCAACAAATTTTGTTTACAAAGCATTCAGCAGAAGTCCAACATTTTTCAGGTCCGAATGTATCTCACGAAGAAACGCGAATAGGGAGAACAGGGTCCTGGATGGTCGAAAGCGTCCAGAAGCTGGCAGCGAAGATAGAAGAAATCCTGTGTGGAATGAAAGTTGTAGCTCCAGAAGCCAGATCTTTTCCCCGTGGTGAACCGGTCTGTCGTAGGCGTATCCGAGCGAGGCGTTGACATCGGTAGACCCCACCTTCGAGCCGGTAACTAGGGCTATGTCTACCCTGCTGGCTGTCTCAAAAAACCGACCAATCCGCGATGCGAGACGGCCACTGTCGGCGCGCAAAGTAGCGGAGGCGCCTTTGTTACGAGGGGTCGTTGGGACGAGATCGTGGAAAAGAAGAGACGGAGAGAGTGGGGTTGTACGCGCGTCGCGTCGAAAGGGAGGCAGGCAGGCAGCCGTCGAGGAAGAGAGAAGGGGTCCTTTCCCCGGCGAGGAGGGGGCAAACAGCGTCGGAGGGGGTGTGGGGTCGAGTAAACGCCACCCTCCGCGAGATGGTACGTGTACGCGGGCGCCCGCGCGTGTGTGGGTGCGTGTACGGCGCCCCCGGGGGGTTTCCCTTCTTCGTTGGCTGTCGCGCAGTCGAGCAACCCTGTGCTGCTCGCCAGCTCAGTTGCCCATCGCCGCGACGACGACACGGTTGCGCCACGACGACAGGCCAGACGTCACCGTAACCGGGACTACCCCCGAGAGCAGCCACGTTGCTTCTCTCTCTCTCTTTCTTTTTTCTTTTCCGTACGTTCCGCTCTCGAACCACCGTGTTACGCGCGACCGCAGAGTATCAACTCGCCACGCGGATTCAGCCAGTCTGGAAGTAAGCCGTGCCGCCGGTGCTGTCACTCGGTTGTTGCCTCCGACGTTCTCTGTGTTGTTCCGTATTACGATCCAACTGTTGGACGAAGGTTTGTACGTCGTCGGGGATGGATGGACGTTGAATCGTCCGAGACGATCCTTGACAAACAGAAGATCCCGGTGGTGTGCCTTCCTGTCAGGAAATAGGAGGCGAGCAGAAGACTCTGTTTTGTCTCGTGAAATTCGATCCAAACCGCGAGGAGAATGAAAGGAAGCGGTTCCATGAATTTCCATGCGCATCGTTGAGGTCCGAGAAGAGTTTTGTTCTGGTGGCCAGGGACGATGAATGGAACCTATAACCGCGATATCGGGAGAGTGAATAGAATTCCTGGACGCAGATAAGGTTCTGATTGTCTCGAGATTTCGGCGTGAGAAAGAGAGAGAGAAGTATTATCGAGTAACTTCGACTACCGGTCGGTTCGACGAGGAATCCGTACCTGAACACAACGAATCTTCCATTCAACGAACAGACTGGACGAATGTGTGCCGTTAGACGCGTAGTTTCTACACGGTAATTTGTGTTTAAGTGCAAAACGAAACGCGAGGCGATTCGGTTGGCTCGAAGGGTCGATCCGCGTATCTCGAGTTGCCGTCGCTCGCCGAAAGCTGTCTTCTTCGCGAAAACGCATCAAGGATTTTTACGTCCACAACGAAGATTAGCCGAGAACACAGCCCAGTAAGCTTTCCACCAATTTTCTATGCACGACAATCTTTCGATTTCAAGGGATCTTCGATGATGGAGATCTATGAGAACACTTAGGATCACCGACGGGACTCTGATCTCGATCTAGCTCAAACTGTTCCGTATATTTTTTCAAACTAAACGAACCGTTCGATTAGCGATCCCTTCGTAGCGGGCCTATATTAATTTTCAACGTTCGTCGAGCCCAGCGTCGGCGGGGACATCGAAATAGCGACGCGTACGCTCGCCACAAACCGTCGGATGCCGAGCGAGCGTTATGTCAGGGCCTAGCCGCGACAAAGGACTCGTTTCGCTTCCTCTTCTCGTCGATCTACGTGAAAAACTCTCCTCCGATTTCTGATCTGGAGTTTGCGTTCCGAATAACCTCTTAGCCACCTCCCATCGCTTAAAAACAAAGTTCCTACGAATCGAGACACGAAGCAACGATCAAACTTTTCTCAATCCTAGCAAGAATACAAGGAAGTTAACTCGAAGAACAACGATTTCCGTGAAGCCTGTTCCGTCAACGAGCCTGTCAAGGATGCTCCATTGACAGGGACACACTAGAGACTAGAAAATATTCGTTAAAAGAGGGATCACGATCGGAAAATGTCGTTTTGAGTCGATAAGATTATCGACAAAGACGCAAAGATGCCGCAGCGATCGCCGTTCGCGATCCAAGAGCTGCTGGGGCTGAACGGTACCGGAAACGGAAGCGGTACCGATCGCGGCTCGCCCCAAGGATCACCGCCAGCCGGCGTCTCCGCCGTTTCTTACGCGCCCGCGGCGCCTCATCACAAACTATGGGACTACATGCCCAGCCTCACCAATCATTTGGGCAATCTGGGCAATCTTGGGAATCTGGGCAACCTGACCGCCTCGCGGATGGCTTACCTGAATGCGCAGG